GACTCAGCTCGTTTAGCTCTACAAGATGATCCCTTGAAAGTTCGAAAATGTCCAAATTTGAACTATGCCTTCCATCAAGTACCTACGGGCACTCATTAGCGGGCGAGTCTCGCCATAATTGTAACCAAAGGGCAATCGTTGAGAGTGAGACCACATTGAAATCAAATGAATTCCGCATTTTGTTGGAGATGATTGAGAACCAGATCATTGTGTTCCCCAAGTGATGCTGATCCTTACCATATCAATTTTTCTGAAAATAGCAGAACTTTACGGAAAGTCACTTTCGTACTATATTGCTTTTTCAATTTGAAATATCTCAAGCATCAGCTGGGCTCAGACCACGAGAGCACAACAGTCCCGATCTACGCAGTTACCTCCTCCCTACCGTTTGCGAAATCGAAAGAATGAGTTTGAAAAAAAAGGGGTTACAGCTACTTGAATAGAGGCCATCGTGTGGTACTAGGACAAATGTTCGTTTTCGAGCGATTTCAAATGGGATTTGCAGGGCACTTAACTGTACAGGAAAGTTCATAAAAGAGCTACATACAGAATACCTTGTGGTCTTGAATAAACTTATGAAAAATAGTAGCAAATTTCTGACTGTTGGTTGTTATCTACGGTCAACTTCGTGTCTTTACTGACAAGGAATTTCACGAATTTTTCATAAGAGGGAACCCCCAGTCAAAGTTATACAGTTCGAATCCCCATGAAAAATGCAGTCTAATCATGTAAAGGAAGTTGGCTTTAAATTTATCTCGTGACGCTCTCCCGTTATTCTTTCGCGCTCTCTGGGACGATATCAACAGCTTCATGAATTAGCTCATAACTTAATTGTAAAACCTTCGCGGTCATGGTTCCGGTACGTGAAGGGTTGTGCCGCCGACGTTTCTGGACGAAGCTCCTCGGGTAATTACTGTGGGGTCCGCTAGGGCTGGCGGTCAGCGCCTCCCAAACGCTGGCAGGAGTCCCAGCTGGAGTAGCAGTGGATATCAATGGCGGAGAATGTAGAAATCCATAGATCAAAGAAGCTCAAAGGAGTTCGTATACAAAATCATCTCCATTACTGGCAGTCCCAAGGGGCGATGACATTTTTCCACCGAAAGTTGAACCAGCTTCCACATTATCAAAACCATGGCATAAAGACTCCATAGGCATTCAATGACGCCGACAATCCACGCTGAAGATTCTTGAGCACATCGAGTCATTGTAAAGCTTAGGAGAAATCGCGAATTAACTGCTTCTACGTACAGGGATTCGAACGGAAGAGAGCGCAAAGTTTTTCATTTTTGGCTTCGTTGAATTTTTTGAAATTCAAATAAAAAAGCTCGGCTCTAAATGTCAATGGCATTTGTGGAATCATCCATTAAAGTAGTGAACAAAAGAGATTAGAGATCTATATTGAATGGCAAAACTAAGAAAAGTGATCAATAGAGGCCTTGTCCACCTCGATGGGCTAATTATGAGGTCGATTGATCGTCCAGAGAGCCGGAGAATAACGTGAGAGGTCACAGAAAATTTTAAGCAACTTTCTTCACATGATTAGACTGCATTTTTCATGGGGATTCAGTCGACAGTATAACTTTGACTGGGGGTTCCCACTTATGAAAAATTCGTGAAATTCCTTGTCAGTAAAGACACGAAGTTGACCGTAGATAACAACCAACAGTCAGAAATTTGCTACTATTTTTCATAAGTTTATTCAAGACCACAAGGTATTCTGTATGTAGCTCTTTTTACTGAACTTTTTTTAGGCAGTTAGGGGCGCTGCAAATCCATTTGAAATCGCTCGAAAACGAACATTTGTCCTAGTATCACACGATGGCCTCTATTCAAGTAGCTGTAACCCCTTTTTTTCAAACTCATTCTTTCGATTTCGCAAAGCGGATAGGGGAGAGGTAAGCTGGCGGGTAGATCGGGACTGTTGGTGCTCTCGTGGTCTGAGCCCAGCTGATGCTTGAGATATTTCAAATTGAAAAAGCAATATAGTACGAAAGTGACTTTCCGTAAAGTTCTGCTATTTTCAGAAAAATTGATATGGTAAGGATCAGCATCACTTGGGGAACACAATGATCTGGTTCTCAATCATCTCCAACAAAGTGCGGAATTCATTTGATTTCAATGTGGTCTCACTCTCAACGATTGCCCTTTGGTTACAATTATAGCGAGACTCGCCCGCTAATGAGTGCCCGTAGGTACTTTGATGGAAGGCATAGTTCAAATTTGGACATTTTCGAACTTTCAAGGATACAATCTTGGTAGAGCTAAACGAGCTGAGTCTAACGGTACAACTTCCTATCTAAGAAATGTCAACCCGAACTGAGTTATAGCGAAAAGACGAAAAAGACGCGGATCCGCGTCTTTTTCGTCTTTTTTCGAAGGCTTAGGGTGAGGTACTTGTATTATAGCGTTTCCCGAGAGAATATTAGCTCTTAAAATTGCATTTTTTTTACAACATGATTCAATTTCTCATCGTTGCTTGTTACTAGCGGGACACTCACGGAAACGCTCTTGCTCCAAAGGAAAGACCATTTCACTTATGAATGCTAAGATTGTTTCATTGGGGTTTGCACAAAAGTTGCTTGTGTTTTTTACAGTAAACCGTTAACATTGGCTTTCTATTCATTTTCGTCTCAGATTATCACTTATATGACTCACCCTGTAATTTCTCGATACTTCCAGACTAGTTGACCGAAGAGCATTTAATTACCAAAAGTTTAAGCGCAATGAACATACGTCTTCCCACTTCTCATCACAAACTCAATCCATCCAATTAGACCGCGGCCTGAAGAAATGCTCCAACAAACACTGCTTGAAGCTAAACCGCGCCGGAGATACTGTGAGTAGCGGCTTTCAATTAGCAAATTGCATGCTAGCTAAAAGGTTTCTCGCAGGGTGAAAAAGAAGCAAAAAAAATTCACCGAGATACGTAAGGACTCACGCAGCCTCACTGTATGAGTTGTGCAGACATGATTGTTTTATGCTAGCAAAGCGCATCCTGCAGCCTCCAGATCAGTAAGTTATCTTCACGTCATCCAATGCTAATACCATCTAACACTGAAAAAAAATGAAAAACACGGTGTGAAAACCGATTGTGTGAGAAGAAGTATCCTTCGAATTTGGTGGACGGGGAACTAGGGAGGCGTCGGAACTACAATCTATGAGCGCGCTGTAGGCGCCTTCATTACTCCTTGTGAAGCTACGAAGATGGACCAGTTCTAGAGAATGGAAATCATTCAGCCATGGGAAGACGGCTGTCTTTAAGGACTATTCCCGCGCTCAAGTAATTCGTGGTTGTCCTTCCTTGTGCAAGTAGTCCGGCCTCCGAGCTAAGGAGACTGTCCCACATTCGCGACTTCACAGTGAGTGAGGAAGGTGCTGCAGCCACCTAATATTCTAGTTCTACAACCCGCTCAGTTGGACCGCCCACCCAACAAACGTCCTCTCCACTCCATCGCAGGGACGCTTTGTTGTAGTTTGTTGCGGCGGCGGGCGCAAATCGGAATGGCAGCAGGGCACGCCATCGCGCTGGGATCATTTCTTGAAAAATACTACCACCTAACTCTATTCTCATTTTATTATTCTGCAACACACCGCCCCCCTCCCAACTTCCCATACTACCTACCTTCTTCCTGGATTTTCCCAGCTTTCTGCCACTTTTTTCTATTCTTCCCCGAAAAATTTCCAGTTTTTTTTAGCCAAGAATTCTCCGCCAAAGGGGAGGGGGAGGTGGATATGTACCCACAGTGTGGAAACAGGAAAAATTTCTCAGCTTTTCCCTAATCTCCTACCAGTTTTTCCGAAATTTCCTTCTGGTTTTTCCCAAAAATTTTGCTGTCGAGCAGGGGGGCGGGAGGAGATGTCAGGATTCAACTATCATTTTCAACTATCGGAAATACTAATTGTATAGATATCAATCTCTCTTTCAACAACGGCCGAATACGATCCCCCTCTTTGCAGCAGCGTCCGTGGAACAAAGAGAAACCAACGACCAAAAAAATTTTCTCAGACCAATTACGATCCACCCTAGACTCCCTCACGACCCTCCCCCGTTGTGATCATCACAACGATGGCGTGCCCTGATCGCATGTCCATTTTTGCCAACCGCGCTCGTGCTTATAAGTAATTCTGCTCTTCCTTATGACTTCTTGACATTTTCTTCATTAGGAGCTCGAACAGTCAACACCAATCCATCTCCCAAGGTAAGACTTGTTCAAATCACCACTGGTGCAATTTTTTGGTGCAAAAGCTCGACGTGCATTGCTACCGTAATCCTAAATTCGTATACAGAAACTTCTGATAGTTTCTATGACGAGTTTTGGATCAGTATTTTTGTTGTATTTAGCTTTTTCTTCTTTGCATTGGATGTTGTTGGGAAGTGCGAAAAAAACGATGTGTGATTGAGGATTCCGCAGAGATCGCAGGGCGGTGTGACTGTCAGGGATCTATTCTGTTTACGGTGTTCTTGGAGATTGTTTTTGCTTTTTTTTTTCTTTGGGAAATCACTTATCAGCTACTAGTTCATTACTGAACAGCAACTAGCCGTGATACTTGATCGCGGAACTCTTTGAGCGCGCATGCGTCAGCTGAACGACATGGAATGAGCTTATCAGTGAACCCTGTGGACCACATATCGATCCGAGCATTGCTTTTTGATACCCTATAAGCCAACTTGAAACTTGATGTCTGGCACTCATGTGTGTACTGTATTGTATTTCTGGTAGTTTGTCAATGTAAGGCTCGATATGCTGCTGCCTTCAAAGGTGTTAGAAAGTTGTACATAGCGGAGGGTCATTGACCATCGCAAGTCTTACCCTTATAAGTCTATGACGTTAGCACTTTCTCAAGTCTTCAGCCATTATGCAGTGTTTCATTATTCAAATTCTTTTATTCTCTGGTGCGCTACTCAGGATTGATTTTATGTGGATTTCGTAAGGTTCACATACGCATATTTCCAGCGAACGAGTGATGGTTCCAAGCCTCACGCTGCCACATTTATGCTCATGAAGCCTTATCTTCTTGTTGGTAGACCTGCAAAATGGAAACTGTTTATTGCACTCGTCATTCTCTTTGTTCTTTCATGGTTTCTTGCACAGTACCTGGTTACATTATACGGTGCTGACACTTCACTAGTGAACTTCTATCAACGACGGGTGGCAAGTGAGTTGATCCTTTTGTCTATCAGTTTTTTCGAGGAGACTTAAAGGGAGGCAAGGCATCGCATGGAATTTCTTCACTGTGCTACGTTACTCATGTTTTCTGAACTTTTGGAGGAGCGAACTCCAACGAACTTTGGCGCAAGTTCGCACGGGGCCAAACTAGACTACCTTCTAGGCGCTTTTCAACGTATTGCAATATTTTTCAAGTCCTGTAGACTGCTGTAAATATAAAAATTTGCAAAAGTTCCATCGCACGTCACCACACCACTTTTTCTATGTCAAACAGGATCTATTGTTGAAATAGGCGAAGAAAAGTCCGTGGACCAAGGAATGGGACTTCTTGGCTGAGCCTAAGGCAGCTTTCATATTTTTCGATCGCAGGTTAGACCGGGCACGCCATCGCGTTGTGATCATTTCCTGAAAAATACGACCCCCTTAATTCCATCCTCAAATACGACCCCCTCCCCATGCTACCTACCACTTTCCTAGATTTTCCCAACTTCCTACCACTTTTTCCATTTTTTCCCGAAAAATTTCCAGTTTTTCAGCCAAGAATTTTCCGTCGAGCGGGGAGGGGGGGGGGAGCGATAGGGGCCGGAGGTTGTCAGGAATTAACTATCATTTTCAACTATCGGAAATTGTAGTTGTTTAGATTTTCTCACACCAAGTATACGACCCTCTCCGTCTCGGTGTCATAATACAACCCTCCACGTTGTGATCATCACAATGATGGCGTGCTCTTCGTGTAGAACAGCCTCTTGTTGCAGCTTTTTGATCGTTTCGCTTCGCTTTCTTGCCATTTTCCTACTGTATAGCACCACTGCTACCACTTTAGGCGGAGTACCGAATTATAGTGCCTAATGCCTTTGAAGTGAGAAGTATTTGTTATTCATAAGTAAGTGAAAGTCTGCAAAAGATTATTCGCATGATGGTCTAGCCTCTTGCAGTCTAAAGGTCTTCTTCTTATCATCAAGCTCGAGCCATCATCAGCGAGCGCGCGGAATGTTAGTCGAAGGAATGCAAACAGTATGCGCGCTGCTAGCACAATCCAGGCCACGTCATGGCAATGGGGAAAGTTGGTCTTCTAAAATGACCCCAAAGAGCCCGTACTTCTACACCCTCGACATCAATGCAGATTCTCTTGGAAAAGCTATTCATCACCCTGTTCCCAGCCATGGGTGAAATGGAAACTCCGGGTCTTGAGCAGTACGTACCGCGCTATGCCCAGCCTCCCAAACTGCTAAACAGAATTCTTTGCTGGTAAACAAATCACATGGCACGAAAGGGTCATACAGACGTTAAGTTTTACATAAAGAATAAAATTAATTAAACAGCTAACGGTGACTCATTTACTTTATCAATTAGGATTTGCAGCCCATTCACGCAACACATCCACTGCAGCGCTTAAGCCAGGTTCAGGGGTTTGAGGGGATTTTCGCTTCGTTCGAGTTATCGTAACAACTTTAGCTGGAGAGAGAGGAGTCAAGGACGTAGACCAGAGAGAGGTTTGGAAGAACGAGCTCGGGCACGCCGTGGACCCTCTATGGCGCTAATTGTAAAACTGGCGAGCTATTCTCTGGGCTCTCTCAGGCTGCCTTTATGCTTTGCGGCAGCGTGCAGCACCGCCCACTAGCGTCTCGAGGGGCTAGAAAGTATGGACATCGATCTAGCGTCTAGCAGCAACCACCAGCTCCACAACGAGAGCACGGTATTGTGTAGTAGTCCGGGGTTGGTGCACACGCCATAATCGCACGACGTCTAGTCCAACTGTCTCATCTCTCGTACTTCCTCATGCTCTACCAGCAGTCTGCTGCCCTCCTACTTCTCCATGCTCTCTTCCTCTGATCGCTAGTGGACGCTGTTGGACGTTGGTAGACGCTAGATCGATATCCATACTTTCCTAGTTCCTCGGGACGCTGATGGTCTAGCGTCTATCAGCGACCAGGAGCAGAGAATGGGAAAGTAGGAAGGTAGCAGACTGCTGATAGAATTTGGAAGGAGGAGGAAGAAGACAGCAGGACTTAGGCGTCGTGAAATTGTGGCGTGTGCAACCACACCGTACTACTACTACTACACAATACCGTACTCCTGGTCGCTGGTGGACGCTGGTAGACGCTGCCGTTCGCTAGATCGATATCTATACTTTCCTAGTCGCTGACGCTGACGGACGCTCGAAACGCTGATGGTCGCTGGTGGACGCTGGTGGACGCTGCCGCAAAGTATGAACGCAGCTTCACACCACATTCAGGAGACAGTACTGTCTTGCTGTGGATGACTAATTAACCATTTTCAGGTTTAGAAAGGCAAGTATTGGTTCTCGAAAAGAAGGTTGCTCACAACAATCACAATTTGCATGAACAAGTTGCTGTGATTGCTGATTTAATGAAAGAGGACTTATCCGATAGCGTTCGTGAACAAATGAAAGAAGTACAGAAAGCCTTGGTATCGATTCCAGAACTGTATTTTAACTTGTACAAGAAGACTGTCTTAGTCGGTTCTGCTGTGATGAGTTGTAACTTTTAGCTCTCGCTGACGGCTCCGCAATTCAAGCATCGACCAGAGACATCGCATTTAGATTGCCGGCGTTTATTCCTCGGAGACGAGCAGTACATGGCCGAAATAGCACGTGCTCGAATTGTGCTGGTTGAGAACAGCGTGCTGGATATGGAATGTGACGCTCTACACTGGCGAGTTTTCCCACGCTTGCGGCAGCCAACGCTAGGCTACGGAATCGCTTTTGCTAGGATCGTCCATACAGTATGCGTTTCTCATGACTTCATCTTAATAAGTCTCCCCAACGCATTTATGACATCATTCAGGACTATGAGTTCTTGGAAGAACAGCTGCAAGTCAACTATTCACCTGAAAATCACTACTGCTATCACGTCGATTCGAAGTCGCCGATTCTGTTCAAAGAACGGATGGCAAAACTAGCTTCTTGCTTACCGAACGTTTATCTGACTGATGGTTTGCAAAGAAATTTTGGGCATTCTCTCCTCATTTATTTATACGACAAATTGTAGATATTCTGGAAATTAATGGAAAAGTCGGAACAAATGTCAATTTTGCTCATATGGCTTGCCTAAAAGTGCTGGAGGATAAAGGCCCGTGGCAATACGT